ATCTTCTAAAAAGCAGACACATACCAGTGTTTAAATGGCTAACAGAAGTACCATTCACCCACCTTCTTTGGAATAACTGGTTAAAATGAAATGTTCTTTCCATTTGTATCTTTATGCTACCCACAGTTTAGATAACTCTAGCCTTAGGATTACAGTTTTCAAGCTTTACTCCTTTTCATGTACAGTTGTTTCACAAAGCAGTGCTAGCCTGCTGATGACAATTTGTCTCTTGTTCTATAAAAGAGAGATAATGTTGAATGAAAAAAAAAAAGTACCTACTACATCAGGTAGTGTGATGCTTCTATCTTCATTTTCTTTCTCATGATTGCTTTGGCTATTTAGGTTCTTCTGTGTTTACACATTAATTTGATGATTTTTTTTTTTCCGTTTCTATGAAAAAGTGGCACTAGAATTTTGATAGGGATTGAATAAGAAAAACTAAAGATATTTTAATATGCACTTGGTTTTACCAAATTTTCAAAATTAATATTACCTTCATAGAATATGTTGCCTTGGACTATAGTCTCCCAATTTAAATCTAAATTGAAATTTATTCTATGTATGGAGGTCCAGATTTCTGAACACCATATATTGAAGAGACTATCCTTTCCCCCTTCTGTGTTCTTGGCAACTTTCTCAAACATCAGTTGACTGTAAATATGTGACTTTAATTATGGATTCTCTATTCTAATCTATTGGTCTATACTCTGTTTTTACAACAGTACTGCACTGTCTTGATAGCTTTGCTTTATCACTACTGCATCAGGTAGTAAATTGCCTCTATCTTTGTTTTTTTTTCTCATGATTGCTTTAGCTATTTAGATTCTCCTGGGTTTACACATTAATTTGATGACTTTTTTCTATTTCTATGAAAAATGCCACTGGAATTTTGATAGGGATTGCATCAGATCTATAGATCACTTTCAGTAGTATGGACATCTTAACAATATTAATTCTTCTAATCCATGCACACAGGATGTCTTTCCATTTGTTTGTCTTCAGTTTTTTTCATCAATATTTTATATTTTTCAGTATACAAATCTTATCCCTCCTAGGTTTAACTTTTTCCTGAAATATTTTTTATGTTATTGTTAACAGGATTATTTGCTAAATTTATTTTGGGGATGAAATCAGCTCAAAATTGTTTAAAGCCTTAAGTATGATACCTGAAACTTTAAAACTACTGAAGAAAAAATAAATGGGGGAAAGCTTCTTGACATTGATCTAGGCAATGACTTTCCAGACATTAACTCCAGGAGCACAGGTAGAAAATGAAAAAATAAACAAATAGTATTGCAGCAATTACAAAAGCTGATGAGCAGCAAAGGAAAGCAGTCCACAGACTGACAAGACAACCTGTGGAATGGGAGAAAATACTTGCAAACCATACCTGATAAGGAGTTATCCAAAATACACGGCTATGTTTATTGAGATTCTACTATTTAACAAAGAACTGAAAAAACTCAATAACAAGTAAACAAATATCCCAATTGAAAAAGGGGTAAAAGACATGATAGGTATGAAACGAAGATCTTTAGATGACCAACAGGTGTCTAAAAAAATTTCCACCACACTAATCGTCAGAAAAAAAGATGTCTGCACTTCCATGTTCACTACAATAGTATTCGCCATAGCATGACATGGAATCAACCTAAGTTCATCAATACATGAATAGATAAGGAAAATACAGTACTGAAATATTATTCAGCCTTTGAAAATGAGGAAACCATGTCATTTGCAGCAATATGATAACTTTGGAGGATGCTGTGCTAAGTGAAATAAGGTAGACCCAGGAAAACAAATTCTACATGGTCTCATGGGTTTCATCTAAAAGTCAACTCATAGAGATAGATAGTAGAATGATGTTTACCAGAGGATGGGGATCAGAACAATGGAGACACAAACAGAGTACAAAGTTTTAGTTACACCCGATAAATAAATTCTGGAAAGCTAATGTATAGCATGATGACTACAGTTAATGGTGCTGATGGTATGCATGAAACTTTATGATCTAGTCTGTGGAAATTAAATGTCAAGGATAAATGAGATAATTAATGTTAAGTGACTAGTCTAGTGGCAGGTGCTCAGTAAATTCTCAATAAATAGTTGCTATTTATGTTATTATCCTCACAGCCAGCATGTAGAATAGAGGACAGGCCCTCCTATTTTTATACTTTACAGAAGAAACAAAAATATATTTTTAATTTTTTACTATGAATATGGAGTCAGATTGGTAATTGGAACAATCCAGACAAAATCCTCTCCAGAATTATTCTATACCTCCAGATTTTCATACTGTTATCCACTCCAACAAAGTATATGCTTATTCTTGAGAATTTAACCAGAAAGTCTCCCTGCATTCCATGGTTTGGGAGGACAAGCCAAGTTCTCCAACTGCAGAGTACTTCAAATAACCAATTGCCTTACCTATTTAGATTTCTGCTACTCACATGGAAATTAATCCAATGGAAGAGCATCTCTTTGGCAATGAGTATATGGACTTCTGTTAAAGGTAGAATACCTAAATTTTCTGGGTTCTTAGTTATATTACCTTTCCTTGATCTGAAATATAAAACATCAAATGTGTCCAGAAAAGAGATGAGTAAGAAGAGATGTATGACCAGCCAGGACCATCAGAAATTACCACTGGATCCCTGAAAACCCACAATGTTGAGTGTGTAATATTGCTTATAAATAACATTTTCCATTCTCACAGATTCCTATAGACTCAGCAGGGGAAAAGACTATGAAGAGACTCTTACAGGAACTCTCTCACGTGTGACATATCCACAGTTTTATGGCTACTCAGAGCCAAGTCTTACTTTAGAATAGGTCTATCAGTCCACTCCTCCATCCCTTGGGACTTGGTCAATCTTTCTTTTCCCTTATATAGTCTTCATATGTCATTCTAAATTGTATGTCAAAGAGGCTGAAGACTAAGCCTATCTAGATAGACAGAAAGATTCCCCTTTAATTCTTTTAACATGTTTCTTTCCAGTAGCAAGTAATTTGTGTTTTGATATATAAGGACAAACCAGAGAGAGTAATATATATTGTGGGCTGTTAGTCAATATTCTCCAGAGAAAGAGAAACAATAAGATGAATCGATAGATAGATAAGAGGAGATATATAAAGGTAATTGGCTTACACAGTTATGGAGGCTGAGAAGTTCCACAATATACTGTCTATAAGCTGCAGAACCAGGGAAGTTGGTAACATGGCTCAGTCCAAATCCAAATGCCTCCAAACAAAAAGAGCCAACAGTGTAATTCTTAGTCTAGCCAGAGGCCTGAGAAGCTAGGGGACCACTGGTGTAAATTCCAGAGTCCAAAAGCCAGAGCACTTGGAGTTCTGATGTTCAAGCAAGAAAAACTGAACATTCCATCTCAAAGAGAGAGCAGATTTGCCTTTCCTCTGTTTTTTATTTTTATTTTTTTTAATTCTATCTGAGCCCTCAACCAATTGGATGCTCTGTGGCCTGCCCACATTGGGTGAAGAAGTTTCTTCTTTCTTACTTCACAGGTTCAAATACCAATCTCATCCAGCAACACTCCCACAGTAAAGAAATAAGGCGCTACCAGCTGTCAGAGTAGCTCTTAGTGCGATCAAGGGGACATGAAAAATTAAACATTGCCTGGACATTGTTCAAAACCAAAACAAAGTAAAAAATGAACTAGACACAGTGGCACACACCTGTAATCCCAGCACCTTGGAGACTGAGGCAGGAAGATCATGAGTTCAAAGCCAGCCTCAGCAATTTAGCAAGGGCCTAAGCAACTCAACAATACCTTGTTTCTAAATAAAATATAAAATAAGGGCTGGGGATGTTGCTCAGTGGTTAGGCACCCCTGGGTTCAATCACAAGTACCAAAAAAATAAAAACACCCCAAAAATGTACAGATCAACTATCACTTTTTTTTTTAAACTTAGAGCTTTAGGGTTACATACAGTAGGTTGAGTTCATCCCAACAAACACACACATGCATGAAAATTGATTTCAGTTCATGATCCCCTCTTTCCCTCCCATCCCCTGCTCCCTCTTCCTCTACTCTACTAGACTTCCTTTCTATATCTTCCTTATTAATCAGAGATTGTAGGAATTCCTTCCAAGTGATTCTAATGTGAAGTCTATGTGGTAACCACTGTCCTATCAGTTTACCATGGTCACTCAGGGTCTAGTCCAAGTCCTGATACAATCCTCAAACTGTGACTGGTCCATAACAAGATAATAATTGAAATAGATAATGCCATTCAAACTTCTATAACAAAATATCATAGCCTGAGTGACTTTTCATCAGTATCAATTAATTTCTCAGAGTTCTGGAGGCTGGGAAGTTCAAGATGAAGGAACCATAAAAATTGGTGACAAGTGAGGCCCATTTCCTTGTCCTAAAAGGTGACTTCTTGCCGTCTTCATTTGGCAGAAGGGCAAAGCAGCTCTCTGGGGTCTCTTCTCTAAGGACCCTATTTCCATTCAGGTGGGCTTCTCATAATCTGATCAATTCTCAGAGGCTTCACATTCTAATACCATCACATTGGTAATTAGGTTTTCAACATATGGACTTGGTGGGCTCACAAACATTCAGACCATAGCAAAGTGCCTAGAAACTTTTAGAGCAATATGACAAATTAAGTTTGTGTCTATTAAGTTCAGTAATAAAAACAGATGGACTGGTGAGAAAAGAATGGCTTGATTTACAAAGAAATATTTTTATAGCCCCTCCAGGAAACCTTCTGAATAAGTAAACATCCACCTCCAATAGTGAGTATTTGATGGGCCCCTTCTTGAAGTTATTAACCTCTTTGAGATGAAACATTAAAGTTAGAGCACCTGGGTACCACAGGGTTAAAGAGCAGGAGTGGGGTAGGTGGGGTTACAAACCAGGAACACATGCCCTCCAAGTTAGATAGCTTGCTCTCTGTTTAATTGCCCTTAAAACACACACACACACACACACACACACACACACACACACACTCACGTAACAAGGAAGGTGAAAGCTGAATGAAGTTTTCTGGGTAATGGCTTGAAATGTTTTCCTTATGAGAAGTGGTGTTGAGTTACAGCGAGCAGCGGAGAACTGGGAGGAGAGAAACAGCAGCCCCAACCCGGCCCCCTCCTTTTCTTGGGCTGGTAGAAAGGTGGACATGGGCTCCCGGAGACAAGACAAGTGATATGTTGAACTGTTCTGTGGCTGCAATTGTCTGCTCCCGGAGTGACCTGAGGTCAGTGTTTACCAGGGTTTAACCAGGGCCAGCGGAGCAGGCACAGATGCGCTGCTGTGAAATGCCACGCAGGCAGAGACTGACAGGCAGTAGGAGCTGAGCTTTCCCCCTGGACTGCTGTTTCCTGCTGTGTTCAGGGGAGGGGGTGCTTTCTGGCAACTCCTGCTGCTGCTGCTGCTGCTGCTGCTACTTCATCTCTTTCTCCACTCCAGGTAAGCAGACTCAAAGGGAGGGCAGGCTGCAAGGGAAGCCTTTGTACAATGAACAAGATCCGAAAGTTTTTCCGAGGAAGTGGGCGAGTCTTGGCATTTATATTTGTGGCTTCTGTCATCTGGCTGCTCTTTGACATGGCAGCTCTCCGCCTCTCATTCAGTGAGATCAACACTCGGCTCCTCAAGGAAGATATCGTGAGGAGGGAGCAGATAGGATTCAGAGTGCAGCCAGACCAAATGAAGATCCTTTACAGCAGCATCAAAGAGATGAGGCCTCCCCAGAGGGGACATGGGAAGGGAGCTTGGGGCAAAGACAATTTTAGAAAGACTGAGGACAGTGTGCACAAGTTTCAGGATCACTTGGACCCAACACAGAGGCAAAGAAAAATGAAAAACAATCTGGGAAGGGACAAAGTGGTACCTTTGTGGTATCCTGCACATCTACAGAACCTCACAGAGACCCTTACCAAGCAGAAGATGGAGGGGAGAGACAGCAAATCTGAAATTTTCTTCCATCGGGTGACATCAAATCAGACAACAGCCCAGAGGGCTTGGAAAACCCCATTTGTAGTGGCAAAAGAAACTCCATTAGTCAAAATATCTGTACACACAGGACCTGTCAGTGTAAAACAGGAGGCCCCGAGGAGTCATAATCTCAGCAGTGACACATCAAAACCAGCAGGTGAAAGGGCCCTGAACATGACCATCACTCTTAGAGCAAAGCAGCAATCACAAGCAGTAGCAAACGAGAGGACACACCCTGGTGGCTCATCAGTGCCCAAATCTGGGGAAGCCATAGCCTTAAAACAAACTGTGACTCAGAGCAAAGAATTAAATGCAAATAGACACAAAGTCAATAAGGGTCTTCCTTTTTTCAAGTTCATTGCCAGTTCCAGTCACTTAAAGAAGCCATCTATGAATGAGACATGGTTGGGAGGCATGCCAAAGCATGATGGAGTCAAAGTGGCTCAGGGGAAGAGACTCGACTTCCCTGAAAGCCATGTTGTGATTATAACTAAAGAGGAGGAACTAAAGACAAACACCAATGAGGTTTCCAACTTTAAAACCAAAACTATATTACCTAAAGTGTTGGGGGGAAGCCAAGATACACACATTTCCAGGAACAGGAGCAAGGCAGATTTGTCTTCACTTGCTTCACAGAGGGCAACAGTGTCTCAAACCAAAAAAGCCTTAGCAGGGGGACTGGGGACTGCAAGAATCAACTCAACTACCAAGGCACAGCATGCAGAACGCAACCAAAGTCACACAAAAGCCCCTCTAACTGAACACCATGGGATGCACCAAGTGTTACGAGTAGACGTGACACTTTCTCCAAGAGACCCTAAAGCTCCAGGTCAGTTTGGACGTCCTGTGGTTGTTCCCCCTGGAAAGGAGAAAGAGGCAGAACGAAGATGGAAGGAAGGAAACTTCAATGTCTACCTTAGTGATCTGATCCCAGTGGACAGAGCTATTGAAGACACAAGACCTGCTGGGTAAGGCTCATTCTCTTCTTTCTTCAATCCTAGGTATTTGGGCTTGTATACAGAAACATTTATTTCTAGATAATTTTGTGTGAATTATGGTCACTCAGAACTAGAGAAAAAGCAATTATTAGATACTAGCCAAATATTCTACCGTTCACAAAGTGAAAATTTCTGATACCAGTACATGCATTTTGTTCTGTTTCTAAGCTTACTTCTCTGGCCCTCACCCCGATTAGCTCAGGATCCATTTCCTTCCCTGTCTTGGCAATCTATTAAAATAACTAGATGGATTCAACTCACAATAAAGTATACATGAGTGGTGGAGCTTGAAGTGTAACTCCATTAAAACACTGACATTGGAGTAAGTTCTCAATTTTGGAAATTTTAACTATTGGAAAGTTTGTCTGGAATATATCTGGGAAATGAGCACAGATAAGAAATTTCATAAACATCTTAGAGTCATATCTCAACAAGCAGAATTCTGCCTACTCATGAATAGTGATATCCATAACAGCAATGGAAAAAATTGACTTTATTCCCTAAAATTTAATGTCCTTTGTCAGTAAGGATGGTAGACATTTCAGGAGTTCAGTTACACAGGAGTAATAGTGTTGGGAAAAGTCCATCAATAACTAGCAAGCACCTGCAAAACTACAAGAACATAATAACAGCAATCACTTTTATCGGTAGAGTTTTACCACATAGGAGGAGCCTATGTATACATGGGTGAACTTCACAAAAGCCCTGGAAAGGAGGGGCAGGTCTTAGAGTTCAAATGAACTGATGAGGATGCTCATAAATTATGCCACTTTTCCAGCTCTATTGCTGCCCAATGCACTGGCCTGAACCAGTTCCTCAAAGAAATTCCTAAAACTCTGTCATCATTGGCAGCATCAAATCACCAATATTTGATCTGAGTCAAATAGTTGCATTTCTGGCTCTTCCTAGCCCACTTACATGTGGGGGTAGGTTGTAGCCATATGATGACCATTAATGGATAACATAGCTCTGACTATGCCTTGATATGCAATTCCCTGAGCTAAACAACATTTGCCAGGAAGTTAGAATTAGGGAATGTCAAGATTGAGATGTGGCACCTGTAGTGGGTTAACAGTGACCTTGTTTGGCTTTTGTAGAAAGATATTCTTTGTAATCTAGGTAATAGGGGTACAGTTCATTCACTTTACTAGGAGGGAGGCACAGATAGTGAACCTTGTTCATCTAAGACGAGGAGTACTTTGATGTGATATCAGCTATAGTGAGGTCATTATCAACATCCTAGGCATTGGCAAATAACTATCAACCACATACTAACTGCCTAAGACCAAGGACTGTGCCATTCATATTCCTTACTTTGCTGATACACACAGCCTTAAGGAGAACACAAAAGCATTTACAGATGAGGAAACTGAGGCCCTGGGAAGTGGCATTGTCAGTGATGATAAAGCTAGTAATTCAACAGAAATTATTACAATTCACGCTCAAAATTATGCTGTACTTTCTCATCTTTTGCTGACCTCCCGACTACAATCATCAGGAAAAGGATTCTACAAATTATATTAGTCCAACTTGACTCTGAATTCCTGTATACCACAGGGTTGTATATGCTAGTTTTGAACATAGAATGCCAGGGAATGAAGTAGTCATTAAAGCAGCTTCATTTTATTATGCCCTCAGTGGCCCTTACCGACTGCTCTGGAGCCTGGGGCAGAATCAGACAGCATAGAAGTCCAAGTTCCAGCTCCAAACTGGAGAAAGGGCCAGTGTGTGGGCCAAAAGCTGGCAATAGTGATGTTATCACCCATGTGATTTATTGAAGGCTCAATGACTGCCAGTGCTTGTTAGTTTCTCTAATTTGGAAATGGTGCATTGCAGTCCAGGAAAGTCACAGTCAGGTTCTGTCTTCTGCAGAAGGTTGCCCAACCATAGCAAAAATGAACATGTATGCTTAAGAGGATGAGTCAGAGAGCACATGGCCAGGCCCCTCCCTTTTAGCACACAACCCACCTTGGCTAAATACACTCGAGCTCTGGACAAGCTACCTGACTGATGCTGTACTCCAACAGGATGGAGGAGATAGGCCAACGAGGAGGGAGACTAAACTGGGACTCCTCGGAGGATTGATAGCCCTTTTGTGTCATTCCTACTTTAAAATGGATATTTTCTTGTTGTTATTGTTTTGTTTTTTCTTTTCCTTTGCCCAAACACTCTGACTATAAATATATGCATATTATATATTCATAGAGATAAACTTTGGAGAAAAATGGAAATGAGAACTTTTGGGTTCATTGTATAGGTAAGATTTGGAGTGAAATGTTTTAACTGATTTTATTTGTTTTCAGCCTTGCTCAAAATGTATTTGAGATGTCTTACCAGAACACACAATATGATTTTTTAATATAATAGATTTTAAACATCACCATAAGGAGGAAATTGTCCAAAAATGTGTGTGTTTGTGTGTGTGTGTGGTGTGTGTGTGTGTGTGTGTGTGTGTGTGAGAGAGAGAGAGAGAGAAATCTATAAAAACATGGACCTTAAAATTAGCTCTAGTAACAGCCTACTGCAACCTTGAAATTCAAAAATTTGGGGGGAATATCTTCCTTGCTGACTTTTATATTATCCCCAAATCCACCATTATAGATTAAGTAACACAGTAACTAGCATACCATAAGTGTTCATTGAATATAGATTGAAGGAAAAGAATAAAAACCAAAGGTTTGCTATATTCATTTAAACTCACTTCCCCTAAGTAAAGATAATAACTAGTTATAAATTAATAACATTTTGAGAATGAAGTAACCAAATTATTAGAGCAAAGATTGTCTTTAGGTAGAGGAGACAGGCAGGGTTGCCAGGACCATGTCCCTTTTTAGTTATAGAATCAGACTCTCTCTTCCAAACCTGCTGTCTCCTCCTTTCCCTCCTGAGTCCCAAAGAACTGCCCTAATATGTTGAGATGCACTCTCATGGCCTTTTCCACAGCACAAGCACTCCTTTCTGCCAGTGTTGTGTGCAGTATCCATTCCACTGCTACCCTTGACTCTCCCTGGCAGCGGGGCTCTTGCATGAGGTATATGCTATTTTCTTCAATGTGAGCCCTCAGCACAAGGAAAGTCAGTCTCTTGACCCTTTCCTACACATGATGCTCATTGCCCCCCACCCCGGATAATTTTATAATTTGTGTCTTTCCACAGCCTCCTTCTCGCTCCTTACATGGCCCTCATCCTTTTCTCTCCATACATGCTAATTCACCAATATCCTAAAGTCGACAGGGACCTACCTCCATCCTGACCATGACATGACTGTGACCTCTAAATTCCAATGAGGTTTAACATAGTAGGCAGCCCTCCTGGTTACTGAAACACTTGGTTGGGTTCCTTTCACTAACTAGAGGCTGGAGCATTTCCCTCTCAGTAAAATTATAAACTTCAACACTTAACTTCATATTGTACTACTCCCTTTTCCCTGAACATGGTGCTGTGTGCTCCAAAGATTCAGATTTGTACAATACAGATTTAAAAGGTATGTTTTTCTGAAATAATTATCGAAAATTGATAACTATTTTAACAGAATAAATGAAAGGTAGAAATTCAAGTAAAGCTTGCAATCAGTCGTTTTATAATATAATAAGGACTTTCCAATTTTCCTTTTGAATATGTAGAGTATATTAGTATCTGATGTAAGATAAATGTATCCTGCTTAACACTATGATCTATTAATTCATGTTTATTCATTAGTTCATATTTTGTTATTGTTTTGGTTTTTAAATTGAATGTTTGATTTTCAAGGGAGAAAGATATATTTCTATTTTATAAGAGTGTTTTAAGTCAATAAGGACAGCACAACTTCATCGTAGCTTAGAATATTTATTTGTTTGTTTATTTATTTATTTATTTTGGTTTGAACCAAGGGGATCTTAACCACTGAGCCACATCCCCAGCCCATTTTTGTATTTTATTTAGAGACACGATCTCTCTGAGTTGCTTAGGGCCTCCATTTGTTGCTGAGGCTGGCTTTGAACTCACAGTTCTCTTGCCTTCTGAGCCGCTGGGATTACAAGCATGAGTCACTGTGCCCAGCTAAAATATTTTATTTCAAGATATGCTTAAAATACTTCTTTGACAGTCATTTGTAAGTCCCATATTTAAAACTCTTTCTTATAAAAAGACTTTAAGTTCTTTCTCTTAATTTTTGAAGTTTGTTCCTATCAGCAACAATCAACACACACACACACACACACACACACACACACACACACTTTGCTGAAATATAGTCCTATCCAAAAATATGGGGCAGTTCTACTTGGAAAAACTTGTCTTCTAGCCTGCAGAGGTGGTCAAGATGGAATTCCACAAATGGACTTACTTTAAGAGTGGACTTCCTGTTTCTGAATTTAGAGAAAAATGATACACACACACGCACACACACACAAAAAAAATGTTTGCTGCCAACATTTAAAGTACAATAAGTATGGTACGCTGGTCTACAACTGCTGCATCATAATGCTACTTGATCGCCTAGCTTAATGCTCCACATTCCCTACAGAACTCTGGCAAGCTCCTCAATGAAGCAATTAAAGTGGGCCTTTATTCTCTTAGTCCAAGCTGGGACCGTCAACCAATAATTTGATTCCTTCCTACACAGCTAAGGAGAGTTTTCTTTCAGCATGTATGAAAAGCAAAAGATAGCACTGTGCCTTTGCCACAGACCAGTATAAATTACTGAAGAGAAAGGAAAACTTTCCGGAACCTTAATTTGGACTCTACCAGGGTCAAAAAACATAACTAATGAGTTGCTAGAGGAGGTGGAGAAGCTGGAAGAAAGAAGATAAACAGATCATGTATGCGAACAGACTTCAGGCTTCTAAAAGCCCATCAGAATAGGAGAAAGAAAAAGTTAAATGAAATTCTTTTTTTTTTTTTGTTTTTTACATGGGATGAAAATGTTAATTGATGAAATGAGACTGCTTTTGTGATTGATAGTGATTCGAGAACATTTTCTAAAATTAA